AACAGCACTGGTTTGGAATGGGAAGTTGGCTGGGGGGTAAGGCAGGAGCCCTTCCTCCCCCTGTGGTGGCATTTCAACCCAAATGGACTCCCCTTTATTTTTTAAAAAAACATTCTCTGCAACTGCTGCAGGGGACTTAGACCCAGCTCTTTTTTAAAAAACACACAAAAAAAACCCTTAAGACATCTGGTTTAGTGCTCAGTCTACCCAGTTTTTCTACAACCAACTTAAATGTTCAATTATATGCTCCCCTTCTTACAATGGAATTCCCAATGCTATGTTAGACTTATATGCAGTGAGGTAAAGCTGAAGGGTGTTTTTCCCCAGCATCTTACATGGAGAGCGTCACAAGAAAGCAAGGAGCTCACAGCTGAGGGAAGCACTTGGACCACTGTGTCACTCTGGCTTGACTGATTTAACAGACCATACTTTCTAACTGTCGCTTCTTGACCCTTATACAGGTTTCTCAAGAGACATGTGAGGTGGTCTGGAACTCCCATCTCTTTAAGGACTTGCCACAGTTTGTTGTGATCCACACAATCAAAGGCTTTAGCGTAGTAGTCAGTGAAGCAGAAGTACTCCCTTGCATTGTTCCCTCTAAGCTGAGTTAGTGTGAGCTAGCTCACCGTTTTTTAGCCTCCGGCTCACACTTTTTTGTTTTAGCTCAGGAAGAATGGCTTCAGAGCAAACTAATTTATGCAGTAGCCACATCACTCGCTCACAACTTTAATGCCAGTACCTCACAAAGTAGAATTTTTGCTCACAAGACTGCATAGCTTAGAGGGAACATTTCTCCATAATCCAGCAAATGTTGGCAATTTGATCTCTAGTTTCTCTACATCCTTGAAACCCAGCGTGTACTTCTGGTAGTTCTCTATCCACGTACTGCTGAAGCCTAGCTTGTAGGATCTTGAGCACAACCTTGCTAGTGTGTGAAATGAGTGTAATTGTGCAATGGCTTGAACAGTCCTTGGCATTGCCCTTCTTTGGGATTGGAATGTAAACTGACCTTTTCCAATCCTGTGGCCACAGTTGCATTTTCCAAATTTGCTGGCATGTGGAGTGCAGCACCTTAACAGCATCATCTTTTAGGACTTTGAATAGCTCAGCTGGGATACCGTCATCTCCGCTAACTTTGTTGTTAATAATGCTTTCTGAGGCCCATTTGACTTCGCACTCCAGGATGTCTGGCTCAAGGTCAGCGATCACACTGTTGTGCTTATTAAGGACATTGAGATCCTCCTTGTATACTGAAGCTGAAGCTTGAATACTTTGGCCACCAAATAAAAAGGGAGCACTCACTGGAGAAGACCCTGATGCTGGGAAAGATTGATGGTAAAAGAAGACGGGGATGGCAAAGGATGAGATGGTTAGACAGTGTTATCGATCCAACAAACATGAAGTTGAGCACACTCTGGGGGACGGCAGAGGACAGAAGGGCCTGGCGTGATGTGGTCCATGGGGTCATAAAGAGTCAGACTCAACTGTGCGACTGAACAAGTGAAACAACAACTTGCCTTGGAAGACCCCTTTGGAGATGTGTGAGTTTAGTACTCATGGTAGCAAAGGGTTCTTGAGAAGTGTGCCTGGTTTCGTAATTCGGTAGTTTGCACAGCATTATACCCACACACTCACTATGAATTTCTTGCTTTCTGCCTATTGTCCTTCAACTTCTAGTAACTACCCTTTCTCTGGATTCAGGACTCTTTAGCTAATGCAAAGAAAAAAATTAAAATGTAACCCCCCCCCCAAAAAAACCCTGAGAGTTGATAATAAATTTTGAATTTAAAGATGAAATATCTGCCTCCCCAGCACTGTAGCCCCTCATTTTATATTTCCAGCCAGAGAGGGACTCTTAAGGAAATGACTCAACTTGCCTAAGCTTGAAATCTAGTATATTTGTATTCTAAATTAGGTGATGATGACATTTTGGTCACAGCAGTATTTAGTGCTAGAATAGCAAATGGCATTAATGATGCCTCCCACCAACCTCCTTTTGGGCCCGAGGATGAAATGTCTTATGAATGGGTTCATTGTACTCCTCGTTATGTTGTGATGTGGTGTTGGTAAACTTATTGACAAGTGAGTTCTGAATGAAGTGATTCCACAAGTCCTGTTGGATTGGGGAAATGGCAAATATCTGCTATTAGCTAATGATCACTGAAATGAGAATGCAGCCATTAAGTGACAGCAGATCCTGATATTTTTATGGTGTACCATTTGAGAGGAAGCAGGTCTTAAAGACATAAAGGCAGTGTGTAAGAACAGGTGTATATTAAAGGGTCTGCAATTATCTTACAAAGTTAAATCTTGGCTTTTCCAAACATAAGGAAATGGCATATTTTAGGTGTCTTAATGGAAAACTGCTTCCATTTTTTTAAATGTCACATCAACTTGATTTTGTTTGTTCTCATAGAATTAACAGAAGCAACATCTGTCTACCAGCAACTGTCACTGTAATTGCTTTGTAATGTTTTGCAAGTTATGCATTTTTTAAAAAAACAAGCTGATCTGGGCTGTCTACCCTTTCATGATTTGTCTGAAGGGCAAGTAAAGTGTGCAGTTTGTCCCAGACAATTTCCTGTAATATTAAAAAATCTCGATATTTTCTTTCTTAAAAAGCATTAGTTATGTGAGCAATAATGCAGTACATGGAATAATTCATATATGGCTTTTTAAAGAGATTTTTAAAAAAAATCGGTGGGGCAAATATTTTGAGAACATTCAACTGGAACAAAAACTGGGAAATGAGTTCAAGATATAGAGGAAATAGAACAATGGTGTTTGTCTGGGTTACATTTCCTATGCTACCATTGAAGATTTTCCTGTAGCTACTGGAAAAAACCCACAGCATTATGAAGAAAGATATCTTGGCATAATTTGGTCGCCTTTTTGCTGCGTGCATAATTGACCAGCTTTAACGATTGCATAAAAAAAGATCTGTACTATGAAGGCAGGTTGTATTATTTGGTAACTGCAGGTATCACAAATCTGCAGAATAAAAAAAATTGAGGTGTTTTTAAATCCCAGGTGTTTTTTTATATATAATGAAAAAACGAAGTGGTGGCTATACTTTGGGCTCACTTCCTAAATGGGGTGTGTGTGGGTGTGTGTGTGTACAACCCCCCCCCCCCCCCCCCCACTCTCCCACTCTCAAAAAGTTCAAAAGGAAGAATTTCACCCCCAAAAGTGGTTAAGGAGCTACAGGCCTCCTGTTCATCGTGGCTGCAACAGACTAACACGGCTACCGCCCTTGAATTATAACGGGCTGGGCTCCCCCCCCCCCCCCCCCCCCGGTCAATCCATCCATTTTCCTTTCCAGCATCTAGAAAGGCTCAACCTAGAGGCGCAACCGCTTGCGAGGAAGCTTCAGGTGGCGCCAGGAGCAGCGGGAACTCAGTCCGAGAGAAGGAAGGGGGCGGCTCCCCGCCTGCTTTGATGCCGCCGCCCTTTCTGGCCTAGCCGGCGAAAGGGGCGACAGTGCGCGCGGCTTCGGCGAGCAGCTCCAGACCCGCCGCGGTAAAGCGCCTCTTCCCCCTCTCTGGGCCAGTCAGGTGCCTTTGGCAAAGGGCGAGGGAGGCCTCCTGCCAGGCCTTGGTGAGGCGAGTTCCGTGGACGACTCCCCCCTCCCACCCCCTTGCCTCTGTCTCCAATAATGCGGACCCACCGAGGGCGCGCCCTGACGAGCCTCACGGCTAGCCGCTTGGTTTCCGGAAGGTTGAGCCAGCGCTTTCAGGCTCCTCCTCCGGCTCGCTGTCGCTGCTTCTCTTTCCCCCTGCAGCGCGGGTGAAGGGGGAGCCTCGGCAGGAGCGGCTGCCCTGGCACCACCACTGCCAGGCGGGAGAAGCTGCGTGTGCGCGGCCCGGAGACCCAGCGCGCCGCTGTACGGCTGGCTTCGGTTCGGTTCCTCGAGGTACAGCGACGCGTGTGTCTCGCTTCTCATGATGGCGAGCCTGACTCGCGGCAGGGTCCGGAGCAGAAGGGGCACCTCCCGGCCACTTCCTCTGGCTGCGGCGGGAACGGGCTCTCTTTCGCCACGCGTGTTTTCTGAGCCGGGCAGTTCGCCGTAGGGGTAGCCTCTTGGCTGACTGCTGTCCGCATCCTTGGCGGTGTTTATGAGGAAATGCTGTTTGCAGTAGACCAATCAGCTTGGGGGGAAAAGAGGATTTCTTTTCTGTGCTCTCCTCAAAGGCTGTAATCTTGTGCATGATTATCTGGGAGTAAATCCCTCCAAACTCTGCTCTTGATACTCTACTAGCTCAAGAAATGCATGTTTTCTTGGTAATGATTCATGTTAAATGGAGCTCCACTGGAGGAATTGTGGAGACAGGAAAGCACACCCTCTTATATGGCAGTCCTGCCCTCAAATTCCAGATTTCCATTAAACTGATTGTACAAAAGTGGCAGACCCTTTGTATGTACTCACAATCACTTTTTTGTGTTACTATTTTGCATGTAGTAAGAGCCCTCCTAACTTGGATAGCTCAGGCTAGCCCAATCTTGTCAGATCTCAGAAGCTAAGTAGGCTAGTATTTGGATGGGAGGAGACCTCCAAGAAATACCGTTGTGACGCTAGGGCAGGCAATGGCAAAACCACCTCTGAACATCTCTTACCTTGAAAACCCTACTGGGTCGCTATAAATCGGCTGTGACTTGACAGCACTTTCCACTACCACCAAGAGTTCTGGAACGGAAAGAGGACCTGGGGATGACCAATGTATGGAGCACACTGTCCATTGCTTGAAAATGCTCTTTCAGGGAGGTGACCCTTGGGTATCTCTACCTCTCTCCTTTACCTAATCAAGCATTCATGGCTAGACTCTTAGCAATGTACAGGGATGGAAGTGGGCACTGCTCCACTACTAAATGATTATTATTTTTTAGTAATATACAAGAAGTACGTACAAGCAGTACAAGAAGTCTTATGCATAGATTTTCAGGGGTTCCACTGAGTTAAATATGGGGTACTTTCAGGTAAGAAGAAGAGAGAGAAGAAGAGATTGGATTTATACCCCGCCCTTCACTCGGAGTCTCAGACCAGTTTACAAACTCCCTTCCCTTCCCCACAACAGACACCCTGTGAGGTAGGTGGGTCTGAGAGAGCTCTAACAGAAACTGCTCTTTTCAAGAACACCTCTGCCAGAACTATGGCTTGCCCAAGGTCATCCAGCAGCTACAAGTGGGGGGGGTGGGGAATCAAACCCGGTTCTCCCAAATTAGATTTTGCGCACTTAACCACTACATCACACTAGCATATTTGGGACTGCATCTGCATGCCACTCTGTTCAGCTAGAGTAATCGCTAGAGATCCCTTATTTCAGAATACCATAGTACTGTAAAATATTACAATGTATTATTTCCATAGCAGATACGCAGTAGCTCTTTGTTCTGGTATTTTAATCTGGTAACTCTGGTATCCTCACAGACAACATTGATTTTGGATGCAGTTTATTCTTGCACTGTAATTCTTTGCTGATACTGTTGGAAATTATTTTAGTTTGTCTTCTTTTAATGCAAGTTTGTGAATGGTCCTTTTGAAAATACTCCGTACATCTTTCTTGCCTTTGTGCCATTAGAGTATAAAGTACTTCCATTCCAGTTCTCTTGCATCTTAAGAGTGGTAGATGCAAGACCTCAAAGCTTCATGCTCATTTAGAACATTTCGTATCCACTGTTCCCAACAGGATTTAGTTTCGGGGGTGTCTTATTGCATAGTCCTCATCCCACTAGTTCCAGTATCAAAGCAAATGAGGTTAAGCGGAAGGGAAGTGTATATCTTGGTGCTTATCTGTGGTAGGTAAAATTGTTTTGGAGATAAACTGGTAGAGGAGCGCGTGTGAGTTGGAGGAGAGCTGGTTCTTGTGTGTGGCTTTTATAGGCTTGTTTGTAAGGCTCTAGTTCCAGCTCCTGCCAACCTAGCAGTTCGAAAGCAAGAAATTGCAAGTAGATAAATAGGTACCACTTCGGTGGGAAGGCAACAGCATTCCGTGCGCCTAGGTGTTTAGTCATGCCAGCCACATGACCACGGAAACGTCTTCGGACAGTGCTGGCTCTTTGGCTTTGAAACGGAGATGAGCACCGCAACCCTAGAGTCGGATTTGACTGGCTTTCGAGCAGGGGAACCTTTACCTTTTTTTTTTTTACCTTGTAAGGCTAGCTTATTGTCAACCTGACAAGGCCACTTGCAACCAATTTCAGCAGGGAGCAATCAGTGAATCTTTTTTTAAAAAAAATCTAAAACCCTCTCTCACGGTGTACTGAATATACAAAATTGCATTGTACTGGACGAATTATTGTTATTAGTCTATCAAAGTCAGTATACTCTGCCTCTCCAGGGTCCAAAGTAGAAATCATTGTCACTCACTCTGATCCCTTTTAACTCATGGGCCAGGGGATTGAACTTGGGACCTTCTGTATGCAAAGCAGATGCCCCATTCCCTGTCCTCATCTTGCCACAACTCTGAAACATTATATGAAGAATTTGACATCCCTTGGTTGTATTAATACTGTTTAAATTCTTTAAACAAATGTTGTAACCAGCCAGCTAGGTAAGATCCAAAGATATTAAGGCAGAACTAGGACCTGCCAACCCTGTGTTTCCTTCACAGGGCAAAAGCAGGGATGGGGCAGAGACACTTGCATAGCAAAACAGGTAGGCAGAAAAGGAAAGATGTGTAACTTTGTTCCTGTCTGCTAATTTTCTCTTCCAGATGTCCCCTGGTCCTTGTAATAGATTCTTCTCATCCTAAAACTAGGCTCTCTTAGTTCAGGAGAAAATAGTGGAACACTTGCCGTGGGTGGAGGGTGGAGGTTGGGTGAGGATCTGTACATTTCTTCATTCAGCAGTCATTTGGGATGCCATTGGGTATCCTTCTGATTCTTGATTGGCCTAGGAAGCATGGGAGGCTTTTCATATATTTTGAGATTGATGGATGGTGCTGAAGGCCAATAGGACAAGCCCACATATGTTTTTAGAGACCACCTTTCTGTTTATCTGAAGTCACAACTCCTGCAGCTGTACTTCCTTGCAACCACTGTTCCCCCTAAGCTGAATTAGTGTGAGCTAGCTCACAGTATTTTAGCCTCCGGCTCACAGCTTTTTGTCTCGGCTCGGGAAGGATGACTCCAGAGCAAACTAATTTATGCAATAGCCAAATCACTCGCTCACAACTTTAATGCCAGTAGCTTACAAAGTAGAATTTCTGCTCACAGGACTCCACAGCTTAGAGGGAACATTGCTTGCAACAACCCTGTAAAGTAGGTTAGGCTGAGAGTATGGGACTGGCCCAAGGTGAGCTTCTGTGGCAGAATGGTGATTCAAACCTCAGTCTCCCAGATCCTAATCTGAAGCTCTAACCACTACAGCATACTGGTTTTTGTCGGGTGGCTGCTGTTGAACAGAAGCAAGCATGGGCGAGGCATGCAAGTCGGGTCGTAGTAAGTTGCCTGGTGGTTCCTGCCAGGCCTGATCCTGGTGACTCCTCCCTTAAAGGTCAAAACAGTCTTGGAAAGGACTATGCCCCCTCCCCCTAACAGAAACCAGACCAGCAAGGCTAGCAAGGCTGTTGTGGTTGCATAGCGATACACTGAGAACATTGACTTCTTAAAGGTACAGGTTCTTCTTTTATCACTGGGGGGTTAACCCCCTGATTTATTTATTTATTTTTAGTTTTTTTCTGCAAGCATGGTGCTTTTCTCTTATGTCTTGTCTGTTCATGGCTCCAATCTCCAGATTTACATATCTACAGATTTGGCCATAGTGGGAATTAAATATATTGAGGTATTATGTAGATATATGAAGACACCATATGAATGTATGTGAAGCCGTCTTATATTGAGCCAGACCATTGTTCCATTTATTTTTTTTACTTATTTAGAACATTTTTTATGCTTCCTGTCCCCCCAATCATGGTCCACAGGGTGGTGAACATGAAATACATGAAAACATTTAGATAGTTAAAATACAGTTAAGAATGTAAAATTCAGTTTAAAACACCTAATCAACACTAGAAGGAGGCCCAATAACCATTCTTTGGGGTATGCCAGACAAAACAATAAAACCTTCAGCTGCTGGTGAAAAAGACACTGATGGAGGGAGACAGATGAATCTCCCTGGGGAGGGAGTTCCAAAGTTTTGGTGCCACGACAGAGAAGGCCCTTTGTCAGGTTGCCATCCATCTAGCCTCAGACGGCAGGGCCAACCAAAGCAGAGCCTTTGAGGATGACCGAAGTGAGTGGGTAGGTTCATGTGGGAAAAGCCAGTCCTTAAGGTATATTGGTCCCAGACTGTACAGGGCTTTAAAGATAAATACCAGCACCTTGAATTGAGCCCAAGGACAAACTGGAACTTAGTGTAGGCGGAACGAGGTTTATTATTATCTGACTGGTGGTGGTTCTCCAGGGTCTTGAGCAGAGAGAAGTCTTTCCTAATACCGGCCACCTAACACCCTTTAAATTGAGATACTAGAATGTCACCGTGTAAATTTAGGCACACAGACCATATGTTCTACCACTGATCTGTCTGCCTTCCCCGGTGCCTTTTTCCCCCCATCAGCCACTAATCCACCAGTCTCCGCTATCATCTTTGATCTGGTTGCATGCCTGACAACCAGAGGGTAAAAATGGCAGTGGTTTACAGTTCTAGAATGCAGGCATAGAGCAAAGAGCAACCCCCATTTGGCCACCCACTTAGCTTCAATACATTTCTTGCCACATTTCAATATAATCCCCATCCTTTGGGTAAGCATTTTACTGCTTTAACAAAGCATGTCCATGAGAATCATTGCAACAGCCTTCTTGTGATGCAGCAGAGTTGCTTCTGAACCGGTTCTTTCTTCCCCCGTAATCCAGAGAGACGCCCTAGAGCTGAGTTTCTAGCTTCTCCCCCAGCCTCTGGTTCTGGATGTAGAATCTCATAGAATTCATGCACAAAATACACATCAGTGGCAGTTTCTTCTCTGCATTTGTTTTGGCATCCATTCTAAATTCAGTGTGGAAGGAATAAAGCCCAAGGGACTTTTACATATTTTCCTTACTTGGCGTTCCCATGGATGCCTTGGGAACAGCATATCCTTTGCTTACTCTCAGTATTCCACAATTAAGGATACATCTGCCCATCAATCTCCAATTCTGACATATTTATTTCCTCCACTGTGCCCTTCCCCCCCCCGGAATTAAACCCAAACAAATGGTAACTATATAAACTAAGCTTGTTATTCTTGTTTGGTCCTTGAATCTGTTAAACATCTTCATTATGCTGTATGCTAATTTACTGCTCTCACAATCTAACTATATGTATGAACCGGTAATTTCCATTTTCATTGTATCTAAAGCTTATACCTTGGATAAAACTTGGGCTGTGGTCACATGAGCAGTTAGTGCCGATATAGTTGTGTTACATTTGCGGATGTAAAGAGCATGATCAGACAACAACATCTGCCTTCTGTGACCCAGTCATCAGCACCCGGGTCCAGCCCATCTAGGAAGGGATGTTTGCAGACACCAGAGAAAGTCCAGTCTTTATGTATGCCAGCACTTCCACTCCACTTTTCCTAACATCTGAACCCCCTTGTAGCAAATGGATGCCGGGTGAGAAGTGTGAACAATCACTTCCATCTCAGTCTTGGTTGTTGTTGTTTTTTATCCGGTAGGGATGTGCACATAAGTGCATATGAGCATAAATGACCCCCATTGCGAACAAGGGCCCCCTGCTCCGTGGCTGAGGCAATGGTAATGTGGATGCTTCAGCACAGGACTGGCACACAGAGGAGCTGCTTCAGGGCATGCTGTCTGGTTACCCCTTCCTGTGAAAATTTAAACTGCCACAAATAGAGGTGCTGCCAGATCATGCCAAGCCTCCATTGCCAGATCATGCCAAGCGTCCATTGTGACTGCAGCCTTTGTTGGTCTTAAAGGTGCCGCTTGGCTCAAAGTTTGTGCTGGTTTTAGCATCAGTAATGGTAATTACTGAGTTAGTCATGGATACAAGGTGGTATCCAGAAGAGAGCCTTTTGGGCCAAGAGATTAATAGCTGCATGCTGGAATTAATTACTGAAAAGAGTCAGGTTGGTTGAAATCATGTCATGCTTAAATCTTTTTAGTGTTTTTTTTTTTTTTTTTAAGGGTTGCTTGACTGCCATGTTAATGCTGCTTGCATTTGGAGTGCTACTTCGGGAAATCTGGGCCAGTATTCATGATGAAAATCTTGCTGATGCCAGCAGTATTCCGGAAGCGCCATTGTTTAGCTATGAAAACATCAACGTGCCAGAAGAGCACATCCCCTACTTTTTACATAACAACCAGCACATTGCCACAGCCTGTAAGCAGGATCCTCATTGCCCATATAAAGTAAGAACTCATTTACTCACTGGAAAAAAAATTGCTTGTTTTATTCTTAGAATCTCAGTGGTTAATTTGTAGACTCGCAGAGGTTAAAGACGGTTCATTTTCCAGACAATTGCAGGGTTTGGAATGGCTGCTGTTTAGGCTACTAGGTGGTGTGTGTTTGGGAGGGCGTGAATTTCCCACCAACCGGTTATATGAGAACACATGAAGCTGCCTTATACTGAATCAGATCTTTGGTCCATCAAAGTCAGTATTGTCTGCTCAGACTGGCAGTGGCTCTCCAGGGTCTCAGTGGAGGTCTTCACATCACATACTACCTGGTGCTTTCAACTGGAGATGCTGGGGATTGCACCTGGGACCATCTGCATGCCAAGCAGGTGTTCTGTCACTGAGCTACAGCCCCTCCCTAAGAACAGTGCCCAAACCAAAATCAGATATGCCAAGTAGGCCAGCAGAGTCTAACTCTCTAAAATCATGTCATTCGTATCTTCACCAGAGTCTTGCACTTATTTCAAATACCATGTGCCAAAACATAAGGAGTAAGAGTGTAGTTTGCATATTATGGAATCTAGCATTTCTGTACTGAAGTTGATCCCAAGACTATTGTAGCGTTTAGGGGCTGCAAAGAAGTGCATGTACTAAATATATGCATGAGCACAATAGGTGCTAATGGCATGATTTGTAGTGTTGACCGATTGGGAATGCCTATCCAAAGTATTTATTTGTTCATAAAGAAAATTTTAGTGGTCTGTTCTGTGGCCCATAATAATAATAATAATGATAATGATAATGATAATAATAAACTTTATTGTCATTGTACATAGTACAAAGAAATTAAAGGTCTACATCTTTAATCTTGTTCAGATTTGTAGCTTCTCTGAAAATACCCACATGCAAAATTGGACAAATGGTAGAATTATTGTAAGCTTTGATGTACTGTACACGTTTCTGCAGATCATGTGTGCATTTTTACACCCTCAGGATAATAATTTTAAGAAAATGAAAAATTAGAAACAAAGTTACACTGTTTTAGAAGATTGGCTCTTTGGGAATCAGCTGTGAGTTGCTATAACACCATCCTATTTGTTTTTAAACTGAGATCTTGTCTCATCAGAAATACTTGAAGAAATTGAAATCATGTTGGGGCTATGAGAAATCCTGTAAACCAGAAAAAAGGTTTGGATATCCAACATGTGATTATGCGGAGGCAGGGTGGTAAGTATGCATATTAAATTTATGGAGTGCAATTGCATACATTGACTTGGATCCAGCATGTGGTTAAAAAAAGCGGGAGGAGTCCCCTTTGACCACCAGAAAAAGGCCGTGCTGATGAGTACAAAAGTCATCGTCGTTGTCATCATCATTTATTTATTTAATTTATACCCTGCCCCAGGGGTCATTTCCTAGAAAAAGAGGTGCAGGAGCTCATTTGCATAACTCATTTGCATATGACACACACCCTGAAAAGGCAGGCATGTTTAAAATGAGCTATGCAAATGAGTTTAAATGCCCCCCCCCCCCGTCTCTCCGTAAAATCCAATTCCACTGAGTGAAATCCCTTCTGTCACCAGAAATGGTCATGGTGTCCAACCCAAGAGCTGCTTGTATGCTGGAGCTGACCTTATACTCCTGTTTCTTGGGATCCAGTGCTGGCTTTTCTGATCATGATAATGGACGTCATCTACCATATGGTGCATGCATGCTTCTCTTGAATCATTAGTTCTCCTTAACTATAATTTGCTGGGGACGTACAAATGCTAGGGTGGCCAGGGAACCCAGAAATTTAAATCCCCCCCCCAGTCTCTCCGCAAAAGCGGAGAGGCTCAGGGGGGAAGGCAGGCATGTCTGCCTCCCTGCGCTCACCATGGGCTAGCTGGAGACGGCAGAGAGAGAATGGGGTGGGGGTTAAATGTCAGGGTTCCCTGCCCGATCTTCTCCAGAGGATAACTGCCTCCATAACTGCCTCCCTGCGCTCGCCGTCTCCAGCCAGCCTGCCTGCTTTTGCACGGTGGGCTAGCTGGAGACGGTAAGCGCAGGGAGGCAGACATGCCTGCCTTCCCCCCTGAGCCTCTCTGCTTTCTCTCCGATTTTGAGGAGAGACATGGGGGGGTGTTAAATGTCAGGGTTCCCTGCCCGATCTTCTCCAGAGGAGAAGATCAGGCAGAGAACCCAGGCATGATTGCCTCCCTGTGCTTGCTGTCTCCAGCCATGCCTGCCTTCCTGCCCTCCCCATCTCCAGCTAGCCCACTGCAGGGCAGGCTGCAGGGAACCTGGAGAAGATCAGGCAGAGAACCCAGGCATGATTGCCTCCCTGTGCTTGCTGTCTCCAGCCATGCCTGCCTTCCTGCCCTCCCCATCTCCAGCTAGCCCACTGCAGGGCAGGCTGCAGGGAACCTGGAGAAGATCGGGCAAGGAACCAAAACATTTTTAAAAAACCCGCCGCCCCTGAGTGTCTCCGTGGGCGGGGGGCGGGGTCTGGGCTCCTTCCTCCCAGAGCGCTGCTCTGGGGTGCTCCGTCAGGAAATGACCCCTGCCTTGCCCTATCCCACAAGTGGGCTCAGGGCAGCTTACAACATAAAATCCATAGAACAATAAAACAATAGACGGCACAATAAACAATAAACATCGTGCCTCATTTCAGGTGGAAATAGGTAGCTCAGAAAGCTCCAGTGCCGAATAGTATTATCTAAAACATCAGGGCATCGGGAAGGGGCCATGAACAGGGGAGGTCAGAATGGTTGAACGTCTGCTGCCTCAACCAAAAGCCTGTCGGAATAGCTCCATTTTACAGTCCCTGTGGTAATACTGTAATAAGTCCCACAGGGCCGTGATCTTGAGTGGGAGCATGTTCCACCAGGTTAAGCTGTTGCCCTGGTTGAGGCTAAGCGGATGTCCCTCAGGCTGGGGATCATGAGGAAGTGCTGATTGGAAGAGTGTACAGCTCTCCGGAGCTTATGTGGGGAGAGGCGGTCCCGCAGTTATGATGGTTCCAGGTCGCATAGGGCTTTAAAGGTCAAGACTATAACCTTGATCCAGATCTAGTATTCTGTCAGCAGCCAGTGCAGTTGGCGCAACACCAGCTGGATGTGTGCCCATGAAGGCATCGTTGTCAGCAAGTGTGCCACTGCATTCTGCACTAGCTGTAGTTTCTGGATCAGGCCCAAGGGTAGCCCCCTGTATAGAGCGAGTTACAGTAATCCAACCTGGAAGTGATGTGGGATGGGGGCTGCAATAAGGATGGGAAATTGGAGGAGGTTGAGAGAAAAGGCTGCCTGGATCAAACTCAATTTGCTTTACTTTTTGTTGTTTTACTTCACTCTGAGCCTTAAAATTTGTGTCACACTTTGGAATAGTTGTATGTCAGTACTGCAGCAGGCACCTTTCAGAGATAGTTCTTGCTTAGGAGCCTGCAGGTTTTATGGTAGATGTGGGATTGACATGCTGCAATTCAGAAAGTGACATAGTTGTACATGTGCTGGGCCTTTCATTCATTCATTCATTCATTCATTCATTTATTTATGTAATGCATAGTCCTCCTTTCTCACTGGGTCTCAAGGCAGATTACACTGTGTGAGTCAGTACAATCAACCGGATGGGACATTCAATAAACAATGAAATAGATTTTGGGTTGTAGAACCAACCAGAAATCTAATGAAAAGAACTGACGCATTGAATGATGCAAGACTACATAGTAGGATCCAGTGTATAGCAAACTACACACAGTAGTATAACGACAGTCCCTAATAATTTGTCCTAGCAACTTTGTGAGTTATTTTGTGTAGTGTGACCCTATTGCCTGTGTAGGAAAAAAAGTAACGTTTGAAGCAGTTGTGTGATGTGTAGAAGCTTGGGCTTTTAAAATGATAGCCGAGACTCTTGATGTTGTGGATGTTTTCTTTTTTTTTTAAGTTCTTCAGCCACTGTTTGCCTTCTGTGGCCCAGGTTATAAATACGGTAGGATGTGAACTGGATGGCAGCTTTGTGAACTGGATGGCAGCTGGACAGGATCTGTGGCTATGAGGAGACCACAGAGGTTGGCAGCATCAGAGCCTGTAACTCTAGGATTGGAAGGGACCTGGTGATATGTACTCTAACCCCATCATCTCCACCATTGGTCACTTCCCATCCTAGATGCCTACAAGCTCCCTGTACACTTGAGCAATCCATCAACACCCAAAGCAAAATAGGAGAAGGCATCTCTTTTCATTCCCTCCTTTAAGGTGTTAACATGGCAGCCTGTTTTATGAGAGCGAAGGTTTATTCTTATGCTTTATTTTCTGCTGGAGTTAAAACTGGCATTGTCTCACATGAATGCTTGTTGTGATCTTTCTACATGCTAGGGCTAGTACTATCGAGGAGGCTCAGCATTTGTTCTGGAAGCAAGCTGATTTTGGTTATGTTAAAGAGAGGATAGATGAAGTGAAGACTCACTGCAGACCTAAGGCAATGGTGAGCATACTGGTATATATTAAAAATAAATTACTCTATAAATCTACATTCCAGCTGCCTTCCAATTTTTTTTTTTTTTTGTTATTTTCAGTTCTCGTTATTCTTTTTTTTTCTTGCAGGGAGATTCTTCACTTGAATGTTCACGTTATCTCCAATACTGCAGAGCAAAGAATTTGTACATTGATTTAAGAAGCCCGGAGAGGACCCATGACAGGTGTCTAACTTACTCATTTTGCATAGGAGAAACTAAACTATAAATATTATGCTAAGCAGCTTTCTCTTTCTTGTAGCTGTTCATAGCTCCAAGGACCCATGAGCCCTCATTCTTCCCTTAGTCTTGTCCAGTTTTCATCAATAGACGGGTTGGTACTTAGAAATCCTCAAAACTTTGATTAGGCGAGAGATGATGGGAAATTGCCTCTTTTTTGTAGGGCATGTTTTTGATGGCAGAGGCTCAGGGATCAGAAGTTACTTGTTTTGCTTTGTGGGGTTGAGGACCATGTTTGCTTTTTGTTTTGTGGCCTTCCTTGATTTCTGGTTCCTTGTCTGTGTATACTTATTGGCTTCAATCCAGATTTTGGGACATTTGGTTAATATAGCAGAGTTTGCCCAGTCCTAGAAGCATGATACTAAGTGCAGTAAATAAATCTCCCAAGAAGTATATTGCAAAAAAGGTAAACTCTGCTTCTAGTCAAGTAGATCCAGTTCATGTTCAGGTTGCAGTCAAAGGAAGAGAAAGAAGCCTAATATAAAGAGTACTTTCCCTATCACGGATGGCCAGCTTGTCCGGCATCACATGTGTGGGAGTATGAGGGCATTGTCTCTACAGGAGAGACTTGCAGAGACGTGTGTCTCCATGAAAGGCCATGTAAAGTATGAGAGGACAAAGTGAGAGAGAGAGAGGAGAGGAGAGGTCAGACGGCAGCTCCTAGATTAAGACAAAGAGAGGCGTCTCATTCAAGGAGATAACACCAATACACACTTAGAGCAATGTAGTGCCCCCAGTATGCTCACTCCAACAGTTAGGGGGACAATTAAAATTACAGAAGAATGAGCCAGATCCATGGTCCATTTAGACCAGCATATTGACTCCAGCTCTGGTAATGGGACTGGAAACTCAATGACGTGTGTCTCCATGAAAGGCCATGTGAACGGCAAGAGGACAAAGTGAGAGAGAGGAGGGGTCAGAAGGCAGCTCCCAGGTTAAGACAAAGAGAGGCATCCCATCCGAGGAGATAGCACCTGTACACCCTTAGAGTGATGTAGCATCCCTCAATGTCCAGATGTGTTGAGTCGCTCACTTCAACACCAGACCACTTCAAATGGAGTGAAGTTGATGAAACTGATTTTTGTTGATTTCCCACTCTCATTACAGCTCCCTGTAACCCCTGAAAAGATGCTTGGGGTGGCTGTTGAATACATAGAAGGTGGTGTGGGAGCTGCAACATGGAGTGTTGTTGAAAATTGTCTGTACTGAATGCCCTTATGCGAATGGAGCGGTGGCTGAGATTTAAGCCATAGTTGTCAAGTATCAAATGCGTTTTTCATCATACATTTGTCTTTGGCAAACAAAAAGAATCTGTATTTATGATAAAAGTGGGTCACCTCCAGGTCTGAAGAAAATATATATATTAAAAATGGGGGAATTAAATCCCCCCAAAGTAGCTAACAGACACATGCATACACACGCTGGCCAGCATCTTAGATTGCCTAGCAACCCAAGGTGTGACACAAAGAAACTTTTAAAAAGTAAGGTAAGGAACATCTGACGGAAAGTGGCAAAAACTGGATTTGGGGGAGGGGGCCAAATACTCGCAACTGGAATAGGAGAAAATGGGTAATTAGGAAAAATGGGTAACAGATGTAGAGATATAAAAATTCTTAAAATTTTTGAAGACATGAAAAAAAATCCCCCTCCAAATGATCCATGTAATAACTTATTTTTCTAAATATTTTAAGGCTCTTGACAAGTGACTTTTAAATGGCTGCACTTTTTTTTTTTTTTTGAAGCTTTGGTTGTAAACAAAATCACAATTCAAGCACGTAGAAGAAAAATATGATTCATGAATAGCAGTAAGATAAAGCAGTGTATATTTCAGTTTAGGAAATAAATGAGTTTTTCAAATTAAAAGTAATTGTAGAATTTCAGGTGTGGGGAGAAAAATAGATTTGTAGATTTTTCTTATGATCTATGGCCAAGTTAAGAACATAGATGGAGTGGACCTGTGTATTGTTAAGTACCTCCTGGAATGCACTGTACTCAACCTCCACTGCTGAACTATGGGTTGTATGTAGCAAAACATGGGCAGAGTGAAAGCAGTCTATCTGTGGAAAACAGTTAGATATGAATGCGTATCTGGAACTGCAGATTGGATTCATGTTGAGGCAGTGAGCACTATCTAAGTGCATACATGGATCAGTGCAGTTTCTTTCCAATGTAGTAGTCTTGTACATTAGCTCTCAGTGGCATGCTGCAGCATGTTACTGAATTGGTGCGAGCTATATTTATCTTGAATTATCTAGGTAATGGAGAGAATTCTCACTTGCATTACTTATGGGAATTTACTACTCTGCTTTGGACGTTTTTTAATATGCTAATGATTTATAATTTTTTATATAATTTAGATTTAATGAAGACTTTTTCCAGAAGGGGCAAATTGGAGGTCATTGTAACTTGGATGTTAAAGCTTTCCTTGCTGAAGGCCAGCGGAAAAGTCCTCTGCAATCTTGGTAAGACGTTTACCTGAATCTGGTGTCTCTTGTTAAGGTAAGGTGAAGTGCCATCTAGTCACCACTGACTCATGGTGACCTCAAGAAGTTCTATGTCATGGGGTTTTCAAGGCAAGAAATGAGCAGAGGTGGCTTTCCGTTGCCTTCCTCTGCATAGCAATCCCAGTCTTCCTTGGTGGTCTCCCATCCAAGTACTGGCCCTGCTTAGATTCTGATGAGATCACACTAGTCTGGGCTAGTAGGGCTGCCACTCTGAAAAAATGTTGCAGTGGGATCACGCAATAGCCTGGATTTTTCTCCGAAAAGCAAAAACAAATCCTGGATTGAGTCAATCTGGGCTCAGCTAAACACTGCAAGACCATAAATAGGATTTTAAAAAGAAAGAGAAAAAAAGAGGGAGGATAGTGGCCAAGATGAAGGTTATTGCAGGTGTGAACCCAGATCTGAGTGACATTATGTGAAGTCCACTTTAATGAACTGTTGACTTTAAGCAAAGAAAACCAGAAGTGTTCATCTTTTAGAGACTTAAGAATGCACTGTAGCATGTTCTTTGTGCCTGTATCTAAATAAATGTATGACTAATTCCTTGGAGCCACGAGTGCTTTGAGATTGTTTCCTGACTAGCAGCTCCATCACCACCAACAATAGTTCAGGGTAGAAAATCTCTCAACTGAGAGAATTGTCAAAAGCATCTGTGAAGTAACAGTGGAGTCTACCATTCAAAGGGTGGTGGTGGTGGTTAAAACTCCACTGGGAACTACTAAAATAGATCTTCAGCGAACAGGCAGTCCCTTAGTTACGTGCCTCATGGAAACAATTTGTTCAAGTTTACTCTTGTTCTATAAAAATTTAATTAGGCAATTTAGCCTCATTGTTGGAAAACTTGCTTTAGTCCTTTTGAAACAAAAAGATCTTAGTCATATGGGTTAAAATACAATGACTTGCTTCCTAGCTGCTGATCCTAGAGTACTTTTAACAGCACTTTCCCAAATACATCGCTGCCACCGTGAGAAATATCAGACGTTTTGTGGTTAAGGGGCTGTGACTCAGAGCATCTGCTTGGCCTGCAGAAGGTCGCAGGTTCAATCCCCAGACATGAAAGACCTCTGCCTGAGCTGCTGGTGAGCTGCTGCCAGTCTGAGTAGACAATACTGACCAAGGCTTTGATTCAGTGTAAGGCAGATTCATGTGTTCATCCCATTTCCAACTCATTTTGAGGAGAAGCCTCAGCAACACGGTAGAGAACGTGGTTTACATGCAGAAGGTGCTAGCTTCCATCCCTGGTAATTTATAGCTAAAAGATTTCAGGTCGCGGGTTCTAGGAAAGATCTTTCTTTGCCTGGGGCTCTGCAGAGCTGTAGCCAAATGAAATAGAAAATATAGTGATCGTATAAGGCAGCTTTGTAGGGTAGTGTACGGCCTGCTGCGCTCTTCCCCTCCCCAGAGGTCCTGTAGTGCTTCTGAAGCATTTGAGTTTTAGCAGCTCTTGGTACAACTGGAACCTTGCTAGACTGTTAAACGGAGCCTGCTAATTGGTTTCAAATTCTATCTGTCTTGTACCTGCAATCATTAATAACTTATGTCTTTGGGGAAATGTCTTTAAAATCATGGTCAAACACATTTGACATGAGCCTAGATGTATTCAGATTAGCCGGATCTCGGATACATGGGCAGAAAGCCATCCTCTGTCACTCTCTCTTGAAATTTCCCCCCAGCCCTTGATTTATAGATCAAAGATGTTGCTTGGTCCTGAGATCAAAGGCAGAGTTTAACCTTTTGAAGCCTTACTGGAGACGCTTCAATTTCAATTTTTTTAAAAAATTAAAATTGTCAAACTTTGCCAGTATTCTTAAGAGAAGCCCAAAACTAGGATAGGTTTTGCAGCTTCTATAATACAAGAACATCTTGGGTGACTAGCTGTAATTTCAGGTTTGCTGAGCTCCAGATGTATACAGAACTGAATGCTAGACCTACGGAAGACGGTAGCTGCGATGTTGTTATTGACAAGCCAACTTATTTCATGAAGTTTGATGCAGGTATAAGATACTGTGTTTTCTGCTCTGTACATTCTCTGGCAAGAAATGCTATATTTCTATAGGCTACGAGGTATGTTACTTCAGAGGATCGTCTGTGACAATCAGCACAACAGTTGGCATGTCACTGCAGTTTTTCTTTGTGGTGATTCTCACAAATGCCACCAGTGTGGCAGCTGCTGCTCATGCTGATTTCAGCCCCTCCGTGATGTTATGAGCGGATCACTTACATTGCTTGTTAACGTGCCCCTGCCAGTGGGCCTTCTGGGGCGTGCTAAAAGTCAGTGTTTACGGTCTTTGTATGCCAGCAGTTTCCATATGGCTGCAATAACTCTGTGCACATGCTTAGGTCTGAAGTCAGCATAAGCAAACAGCTGTGTTAAAAACCAGCTCTGCCATGTAGAGTCCACCAGAATATTTTGGTGCATGGAAGGATTTCTGCTTGTGGAGCAAGTTTTTCTCAACTTGCCCCTCTGGCTGCAGAGCAGAATGCCCTCTGAAATGCTTTGGGGTATATTTGGGGCTACAGTGGGGCGATGGAGACAAGAAAGTCACCCTGGGAGCCGAACTCCTTCCATTCACAGAAATGCTCCAGTGGATCCAAACGATTGTGAACGTTTTGCTGTTTTTTCTTCTTGGTGCCAAGAAATCATTCCTAGGCTATTCTTTCTGAGGCTTTGGAGGTGGACTCAAAGCCTGACTGAAGGGCTGACATTACAATCAGTGTAGCTCATTATACGATTGTTTTCATTGTCAGGCTGGAGTGAGGATCCAAGCTGGTTAAAATTCCAAACAATTTTGCAACATCTTGTCCTTTCTTTCTTTTTTGTGTGTGGATTTTGTGTGTATGTGCTTGCATGCCTGGAAGTCATGGCAACTTCTGGCAACCCCTAGTGGGTTTGGTCATTTTCAGAGAGGTGGCTGGATAGCCTGCCTCTGGGTCCTGAGCCCTGGTATTCCTTGGAGGTCTCCTATCCAAGTACTTGCCAGGGTCGGCCCTGCTTAGCTTCCGAGAACTGACGAGATTGGGCTTGCCTGGGCTATCCAGGTCAGGGCCAATGTCTTGTCCTTTCTGATTAAGGAAAATTAAAATTCAAGAGCTCTTGCTCCAGAACAGCTAAGCCCTTAAGCAGGTTTATTACAGTCATAATATTGTCTATGTAGCACTTTTTCGAAGTGCTCAAAGAACTATGTAGAATAGTATTATTATACCCTTCCCCCCCTTCCATGAGAGGAATGGTGATAGCTAGGAGATAGTGACTTGTTCCTTAGAGCCATCTTCCCAGTTTATCAACAATTACACCGGTGTACTGTGAGCCACCCTGAGCCCGCGTGCGGGGAGGGCGGGATATAAATGTAAATAAATAAATAAATAAATAAATAAATAAAATACAAGTCAGACCAGGGACTTTTCAACTCCTGCTGTTAACTATGTGAAACAAGCCATGTTGTTCATCATCTTAGCACTCTTAATTTGACAAAGACTTCCAAGAAATGGATACATAGTGTTCAGGCCTGTAGCCAGGATTTCTTTGTTCGGGGGCATTTAAATTTTTAAGGGGGCAGTTAAATTAATTTAATTCTGCTAGCCCAGTCCTGCTGTATACCAACCTATGTCATGGTGAGTCTTTCAAAAGCATTCCCATGAGCCTTTGGGAAACATACAAATTAATTTATAGAAAGGGGGATTGTGGGAGTTGTATTGAAGGTGCCACTCTTGAGTACCCTTCTAAGCTTTCTTGCCCTGTGGAAGGGAACTCAAAAGGCATTTAAATGCCTTCTGAGCTGTCTTTTCCCAGGTCCCATAGGACACCCCCCCCAATTCCATAGTGGGAGGGAGATGGCCGTTGTCTGCAGGGGTCTGTCTTAAAAAATAAGGTTTACACACACACACACACACATGCACATATTAAAAAATACAAAAAGGGGGGGGGTTCTGTCATGGCTATGTGTGGGACAGTGCTTTTAATTAAGGTGGTGGGGCCCCAAAATGCCCCACTGTAGCCACAGGCTTGATAATGTTCCTCTTTTAAAGATGATACCAGAAAGTCTGGTGCTGGTGGGCCATAGATCTCTCTCTTCCAGACCAAAGCCTAACTCCTTGTTTACTGGGCCCTGTTGGATCTTCAGTCTCTGTTAACAGTGTCATATTTTTAGGACTGGTCTTCCTATTATGTCATATTGGATGTCCTGACATTTTCTCATATTTTTAAGAAATGAAATACAGATGAGGGTGCTGTCCAATTAATCCCAGCCGTGATGCTTGAGAAACACTGTCCAATCTGTTTTCCATGCATAATTTTCCTCATCAATATTTCCTGCTTCAGGCTGCTGTTTTACCCTTTGTAGGGGGAGAGTATACAAGTACCATACAAGTACCATGAGGAAAATAGTAGCGAGAGATATTTTGATGGTGAAATGGTGCATTGTTAACTTGGGCCCATTCTGCATGAATGGCCACAAAACGGCCATAAATCTATGCAGACACTACCATAAAACCGAGAGATCAAAGGAAGTGAAACCGGCATGCAGTGTGGAGGCTACCATAAAATCCGACAATCAAAGAAAGTGAGAGTGGCACGCAATGTAGAGGGGAATTTCTGTTCCAACGTGAGTTTGGTAAAACAGTGAAGCGAATGCTAGATGCAGAATGGGCCTTGCTGTTCTCCCAGTGTCTCGCCACATAATTATCTTTCGTTAAAGTCAAACAATACCCCATGCAGTCTACAAGTCTCTTCAGCAACATGGTCTTGGACTCTGTGGCAAACCCCCATGGTTTGATCCAAAATTTGCACCCAGTGAATCAGCTTTGGTGTGAACATATTGCATATAAGTGTCTGATACATTTTTGTTTCACTACAACAGAAAAAAGAGCCATACATTCAAATGCCATCCTTGCAAAGGGGAAGGCTTGTATGGCCTTTGTGTGAACTTTAATCATTAATAAGAAGTGTCTTGGAGTAAAGCAAGAAATTGCCCTAAAATAGAGATGTCTTTCCCCCCTGGGGACAAGAATATAATGTCTACTCAAATAGTTGCCCTGTGAAAAAGCAGACATGAATGTTTGCAGAGAAATAAAGATGGGGGCTGTGTATACAAAACCAGCTTAATTTTTCCTCTTTCTCTCAGGTGTTAATATGTACCACCATTTCTGTGACTTTGTCAATCTTTACATCACTCAGCATGTTAACAACTCTTTCAGCACAGATGTCAACATTGTCATGTGGGATACTGTAAGTAAGAGTTCCTGTTTTACAACGGTATGGTGTCTGTAGTTATAACGTATTCTTTCATGATCTATACCAAACTCACTGATGTGACCTCATTTAGACTGATGGAAGAGATGGATACTAAAAGCCAGGAGTATAGTCACTGCTGTAGATGGGTGCTAGTTTGGCTTTGGTGGTACAGCTATCGAACTTTTATCCTGCTGTTCCTCCAAGGAGTTCAGGGTTACATACGTTCTTCTCCCCTCTTCCACTGTATCCTCACAATAAACCAGCAAAGTTGGTTACATTCCATTATGGTCCAATATAAGCCACTGTCAGCAGAGAGAATGGTAAAAGGAAGCTTTAAAATATTTATTAAAATTATATTTATATCTTGCGTTTCTCATAAGACTCAAGCCAGTTTACAATATGAATCTTTTTAACAGGGTTGTGGTCAAAGTGGGGGTAAGACTTTGTTTTAACTGGGAGGGGGCTCATTGTACCACTTACCCACACATAGCACTTGTTAGAGTTGTACGTGCCAAAATTCCTGAGCTGAAAATATACACAGAAATGGCTTTTCAGATAGATCTGCATACTTACAGAATGAAAAACAGAATTATGGACCTAAAGACTCCCCCTACCCAAGTTTGAAGGCCAAAGGGGTCCAGCTTTACAGACTCCTGAACAAGGTGTCCCCAGGCATCCTGTTCACCACTGTTTCTTAGGGGGGAAAGGCGTGGCCCATTTGGTCCACATCCAGCGTTGTGAAAGTAATATAGACAGACGCAGTACGTTAACAATACTGGGCAGCCAGGAGACAGTTCCTTGTGCTGTCATTGTGTCAATAGTCTGCCAACATTTTGTTTTGTTTGTCTTTGTGTATCCCCCCCCCCCAATAACATGAGTATCCTACAGGAAGGGGGGCAAGTAATTACCTAAGGTTGCCCATTTTGGTAGACTGCAAATCCTTTCACCTTTTCTGTACTAGTTTCTGCCCCTTTTCTACGTATGACTAGGGTTGACTCACAGACAGTTCTTTGGGTCTATCCTTGCTCTGTACAGTATATTTAAATAATCTGCTCTTGTACTTTTAGTAGGCTTCCTAATTATTTCCAGGACATTTTGGCATTAGTATTTGCTCAGTATTTCTTTTTATAAGCCCAGTTGCTGTGAATCCAGTGACCGAGAGCACTCAGAACATGTCAGTGCTCACTGCATTTCCACATCGATGCATTTATGTTTTTTCTGCTTTGCAGTAGTCAGTGCCACATATTCTTTCTGCATGTTTCTATATAAGATAACTATCCCCTTCTTAGCCTGTCTTCCCTGCTTGCCTCTTTTCTTAGTTCCTTGTTGCTGTATTAGGGAATCCAGTGGTACGTATGAGAGCCACAGAGAATTGGCTCTTCATTCATTACTGAAGCTAATCCTTGGCCAGCAATGGGGTATTGATGCTTTATCCTTATGTAGCACTTTTAGGGGTCTGCATTCCTTTGTTGTTGTTGTTGTCTGAAAAAACTGGTGTTCCTGTTCTGCTCCATTTTTATCAGGGTTCCGCACTGCATAAGCATGTTTGCTGTTTGCATATAGTAAATCCCTATATACTATGCTGTTAGGTTTAATTCCTTGTATCACCAGATGATGGTGCCAAGAAACTATTTAAACTTGCAGAATAGTGACAGTGAAGCCTGTGCATTTATTCATGTAATCAGATATGTGTGTAGATTTTGGGCATTGGAGATTTACTATCTGTACTGATCATTTAGTCTTTTTTTTTTTTAAGAAAGCAAAGCAGAAGTAATGTGAGAAATAGTCATCAAACATGTTTCTAAACACAGAGCAATGGTAGCAGAATTATTTTTAAAAAGAATAGTTGAACGAATTCTTGTCATGGGGATAAGGAGCATACAGATCTCTGACATGACCTGTCTCATTGTACTAACATCTCATTGCAGCTATGAATAGAGAAATTACAAATAAAAGTTTGCATGGTAATAAAACATGTGCTATAGCCACTGAATGACAAACAACAGATGCATGTTGAAAGTTTAAATTTTGAAAAAGTTTAAGTTTTGAAAATACTTAAAAATCAGGAATCAGCATGTATTGAGTTCTTCTTGAGACTAAGATGTATACAGGTATTTATTGTGCACTGGACTGAAAAGTTAACCCCCACATTTCTAAAAATAATTGTGCATATCCCCTTAATTTGGGTTTGTTTAGGTGGCAGAAGCTGTCAAGAACTGCATCCTTATTTGGGGTTATGTTGCCCATGGTTTCCATCATGTGTTTGCATTCAGTTTAAACAACATGAATTATTTTTCCAATTCTACTTTAGCTCCTTGAATTAAGCATGTAAAATCAGATTAGTTTCACACTTTCCTTTTGTTGCATTCCATTGAGTTCTTCTTGAGACTAAGATGCATACAGGTATTTATTGTGCACTGGACTGAAAAGTTAACCTCCACATTTCTAAAAATAATTGTGGGTATTCCCTTAATTTGGTTTTGTTTAGGTGGCAGAAGCTGTCAAGAACTGCATCCTCGTTTGGGGTTACGTTGCCCATGGTTTCAATCATATGTTTGCATTCCGTTTAAACAATATGCATTATTTTTCCAATTCTACTTTAGCTCCTTGAATCAGGCATGTAAAATCAGATTAGTTTCACACTTTCCTTTTGTTGCTTTCCAAATGAGGGTTGATAAAGAGCAACAAATAGATGGATTTTCTCCCACAATTTCAATGCATGCTTGCAATGATTTTGCCTGTGATCGATTTAATGAAGATTGTAAGGATGGTGTCTTGTGTCATGTGATGTTGGCCATCTCTAAAATGAATAGCAAAACTAATTAAAAAGGATTAATATAAGAGCCCTGCTAGATTAGGGTAGTGGTCCATCTAGAGCAGCATCCTGTTTCTTATAGTGGCCAGCTAGTATCCCTGGAGGACCAAGAGATAGGGCACAGAAGCCTTCCCCCTGATGCCCCCTGGCACTGGGACTCAGAAGTTACTGCATCTGAATGTAGAAGTTCCATCTGGTCACCATGGCTAGTGGCCACTGATGGACCTATCCTCTGTGCATCTGTCTAGCCCCCTTTTAAAACCATTTATGCTTCTGCCCATCAGTGTGCCCACTGGCAGTTAATTTGTCAGTTAAATTACTTGTTGAATAGATTCCTTTTATCTGTACCGAATATGGATTTGTCTTTTCTTGGCATAACTGAAAATAACACTAACCACATTTTGTATTAGATCGAGATGGGTAGCCGTGTTAGTCTGTCTGTAGCAGCAGAACAGAGGGAGAGTCCAGTAGCACCTTAAAGACTAACAACATTTGTGGCAGGGGATGAGCTTCCGTGAGTCATTTTGTATTGTGGCAATGATGTCATCTAAGTATTTCTGCATGTATATGAAGTTGGGTAACTGAGGCTGGATTGCCCAAGAAATGGAAGGTGCTATAGGTGGCTGGTAAAAATGTACCCATAGGCTTTTGCAGCGCATGTGTTGCTACTACCATTCTCTAACTTAAACTGTTCAGGTCTTCTTGCTGATAAACGCAGTCGTATGCCTTTATCTTCTGTTAATTTGAACCTTTAACCGCTGATCTAATTTTTCTTTTTTAGTTGCTTATGCCTGCTGGGTTTGTCGAGACGTTTGATTGGCTTTGTCTCTGTACACTGACTCAAGAGTCATGGGGGTTCTGAAGCAGTGTAAAAATAAACAATGCTTCCTAGCACGTCAAGTGAAGCTGACCCGAGTCATCCGCAAGCAGGAATTTTTACGGATGTGACGAGAAGTACGTTAGCATTGACTCAGCTGATACTGAGCACTGAGACCTTCTAATAACTTGAAGCTTTTCCTTGCCGTTTCATATGAAGCTGCTTTACATGGGGTTGAACTGCCCTTTCATCCAGCTCAGCGCCCTTCAGTTTAGCTAGTGGATGCTGCCTGCTGAGCGGTGACTTCTCCCTCCAAATTCTAGCAAAAGTTGTAGCTGGACTAAAAATATTCAGATTAAAATCAGGACTTATCTGCTGCTAAATGGAACCTTTTAGGTTTTAACTGCTAATGTGTTTGCTCTGTGTTTTAGTTTTTGGGAAACCGATAAGTTCTCAGGAGTACAGAGACAAAAGGCACCAGGACTGTGCTGAAAAGCTGTACGAGCACGGAACTGATTTGAGTCATTTGCAACTCGCCCCTCGCTTGTGCTTATGTTGCGTATGTTTCTGTTTTTTACCCAGAGTTCCTATGGCTATGGAGACTTGTTCAGTGAAACTTGGACGGCATTTACAGACTATGAAATAATGCATTTGAAATCGTATGATTCAAAAAGAGTATGGAATTGTTTTTAAAAACTTTCTTGTGCATGGCATTTTTGGCTATTCCAAAAGCAAGTGTGTCGGAATCAGCGCTGTAGTTACACTGCTTAATGCATCCTTGATCCTTAGTTACAAACTGACCCTTTGGTTCCTGCCCTCACTGCAGTGGCTACTGTAGTTAAAATAGTGCTAAAGTTCCATGAATTTCTAAATCTACAGTGGCACCACAAAGATTAACAAATGGAACCACAAAGATTATCAGCCCGTAGTCAAGTCAAGTTAATTCGGTACATAACTAGCACAAATCGGTTGCAGCCGTATTTTAAATAACAGCTCATAGTAGCAGTGTGAGTTTATGCCTAGAGAAAGGTCTTGATCTTTAAAATGCTACAAATTTTTAGTCTGTTGAAGCAAAACCCACAAGCATAGTTATCCCACTGTGATGGGTATCTGAAGGCTTGTTGCAGTAGAAAAGAGCAAGAGTCCAGTAGCACCTTGAAGACTAATAAAATTTCTGGTAGGGTATGAGCTTTCATGAGTCACTACTCACTTCTTCAAAGTGAGCACTCTTCAGAGTGAGCCACATCAAAGGCATGTTACCTGACTTGCCCCAATCACTAAGCTTGCCTTTGTGCCTTGTCATTATGCAGCCATTCTAACAAGACTGTAAAAAGTGGCCAGCTGCATTCACGCTGAATCCATAACTAAACTGGTATCTGCTCTGTATTCTCATCTTTTGCAAGTGTGAGAAAAATGTCAGAACAGACTAGGTATCTTGAAAGTGTGTCCTGTACTGATGTTATTTCTTATATCAGATGTGGACACTGATTGCACACTTCCAGAGGCAGATTGGCCATTACAGTTACTTGAAAGTTCCAGGGGGCAGATGGCCTTTGTGGGGCAGATGACTTTTCCTGAACCCCCTCCCAGACCTAAAGCAAGAAGACCAGCCTCCATGAGTACAATCTGCCTGTCAGTGGAGGGAGTTCCACTTTCAGGCAAGTCCTATAGCTGCGCAGCTCTCGTGTGATAGCAGCCACCTTGGCTGCCTGGCTAGGCAGCTCAATAGTAATGCCACAACCAATGTTCCCTCTAAGCTGAGTTAGTGTGAGCTAGCTCACAGTTTTTTAGCCTCTGCCTCACACATTTTTGTCTTGGCTCAGGAAGGATGGCTCCAGAGCAAACTAATTGATGCAGTAGCCAAATCAGTCACTCACAGCTTTAATGCCAGTCGCTCACAAAGTAGAATTTTTGCTCAGAAGACTCTACAGCTTAGAGGGAGCCTTGGCCACAACCAAGCTGGGCACTGCATGTGACTCACCTAGGCTGAGGTTCACTCCATGGTGTGGGGAGAAGGGCGCAGGGCCATTTCCCAGAGCCATTTTGGGCTCCCGGTCTACAGCACCCTTCTGCATCACTCATTGATTTGCTTTTACAGATTTGACTGGGCTAAGTAGAACATAAGAAGAGCCCTGCTGGATCAAATGAATGGTCCATCTAGTCCAGCATCTTGTCTCACACAGTGGCCAGCCAGTTCCTCTGAAAGGCTAACAACAGGGCATGGAGGCCAAGACTGTCCCCGATGTTGCCTCCTGGCTCTGGGATTCAGAGGTTGACTTCCTCTGAATTTGGAACTTCCCTTTAGTCACCATGACTAGTAGCCATTGATAGAGCTATCCCCCATGAATCTATCCTTTAAAACCGGCTATTCCTGTGGCCATCACTACATTCACTGGCAACACATTCCATGTTTTAATCACTCTCTGTGTAAATAAGCATTTCCTTTTGACTGCTCACAAGGATGACCACCAGGAGCTTCTGCACATTTATTTTGGTAGCACTATTTAAGAAAACGAGACACATGTAGCAGACATGAAAATATTAGCAAATTATATCATAAAAATGCCATAAAAGCATATAGCTCTTATGTAATGGTAGGTATAAGCTGTAGATATCTCCTTTCAGCCTTGCACTTTTTCATGAAACTGTAGCATACGATCAAGAACTCTGACACTTATATATTTAGATACTGTAGAAATGTTGGGTGTCTGCTCCATTACTTTCCCCCCTCTTTTATTGTGTAGCCCATAATGCTTTGCTCCACTTGAATTCCTTTCCTATATATATATATATACTTGTAAAGCATCTTCATCCTACCTAAATAAAACCAGGAATCCTGTGTCACCTTAAACTAACAACATTTATTCTAACATAAGATTTTGTGAATCGGAGCTCACTTTATTAGATACATTGGAGTGTCCATCCGTCAGGTCGATGCTTTCCTATTCACAGTATCATATTCTCTTGTTAGTATAAAAGCATCAACCTAACTGATGTACACTTCCATGCGTCTGATGCAGTGGGCTGTGACTCACAAAAGCTTATGCTGGACTAAATGTTGTTAGTCTTTTTGAGGTGGCACTGCTCTCCTGTTTGATTTGGCTAGCATGACTACTCATCTGGAATTTTTATCCTATGTAGATAGCTCTTAGTGTCAGACACTGTCATTATTTCAGTCATTTGTGCAGTACTTAACATGGGGCCTGCTCAGATGGGTGCTCTGATCTAGTTTCTGCTGCAATATTAATGGGCCCTGCTTTATATTCACCCCTTTTAATTATGCATTAGGGGTTCCACTGAAACTTGTTAATGATCTTTCTTCTCAGGTATGCTTCAAAGAAGCAGTTTTTGCCTTACTGCCTCGCATGAGGTATGGCTTATTTTATAACACTCCACTGGTAAGTAAATCTTTTTCTATTCTTTTTTCCCCCTTTTAATTCTGTATAAGATGTGTGAATTTCATAATGAGGTCTGTAAGGGGTAAAGGTTTAATACATAAAAGTTGTGATGCTGCATTTTAAAAACTTGAGTCCACATGTAAATGATATTACTGTACAACCGCTCTGATTTCAGATCTCTGGCTGCCACGGTACAGGATTATTTAGAGCCTTTTCCCAGCATGTCTTACACAGATTAAATGTCACGCAAGATGGACCTAAGGTATTAATGCTGCAGTATGTAATTTCTAACAGTCACAGTTGTTACCCAAATGATAACTCAGTTTGCACGTGCCATTTCTCCCCACTCCTTGCTTTAAATTCCACATCTGTCATCGTCTGAACACTATATAAGTATTTTTTCTAGTGTTCACAATCCAACCAAGAATGTCTGTTTCTACTGGCTTGCCCCAGTGCATATATTTTGTTGTGAAATGTGTCAAGCTGTCTGTCTCAGACTTCCTTTCCATGATGAAGGGAACGTCATCTTTTCAAATGCAACATCATTTATGTTGCCTCTCTGGGTATAGCCCATGAGACGTCTGTGTTCCCTGTGGATGACTTGTATGCAGACAGTGTTAAATGTTCAGTAAGCTGCCTAATCATAACAGGTGTCATGAAGATGGAGGCAGAACTTTCTGTACTGTATAATAATATAGTTGGAAGCCGTTAGTGAATCAACCGCCAGTAACAAGCCTAGGAGAGGATAACTTGTCTAAAACCATTAGATAATCCCAGCTCTACCAAACATTTGAGCTGCTCCCTCCCTTCCCTGCTCTACAGGGAAGATCATGGCTTTCAGTTCATGGGGTTAGTAAATTATTTTAAAGAATTATACAGTGGGGACACTGTGGAGGGGGGGGGGGAATCAACCTGGAAGCTTTTGACTTCTTTAAAAGATTTCTTAGAAAATATGCTACATGTTGATCGCATGGGGCTGCATTTTCAAGCTCTGTGCCATTTGCCTGTGCCATTTCCTGCTGGTATTGTTAAGTATTGTGCAGCTAGACCTTTTGTATTTCTTTTTTACAATTTACTCTAGATGGTTCAGTGTATTTTTAAATCTGGAAGGCAAGTAACCTTGTTAGGTGGTAAGGTTTTTTAAAAATTCCTGCCATTCATTTATGCATAAAGCATACTGTGTACATGTCTGTGACTGCCCGTTTCACATTCTGAAATAGCATGTGGTGATATGGTCTGTTTGTATAGTTTGAAAGCCTTTCTTGTTCTTAATTCTCTGTGTGTGGCTGGGATGTTAGGCAAAGAATATAAGGGGACTTATATGGTTTACTAGTTATTTTATTGCAAATACTGTTTTGTGTGGGGGGGGAAGGGACAGAGAAAAGAGAGCACATGCTATGATCATCTGTCTTAAGGGTCCTCGCAAGGAGTGTGTCTCTCCTGTGTGTGGTATAAACGAGGCAATTAAAAGAAATTACTCTGCTAATTGTTTCCATTAAGGCCACTAATCTCTTTGTTGTCAATCAGCTGGTCCTTCTCCTCCTCTTCTTGTTCCCACTAGAATTGTTATATGACTTTTTTCTTTTTCCTTTTTGTGTTTTTTCAACAGGATGGAAAAATTAGAGTTACAATACTTGCCCGAAGTACAGCATACAGGAATATACTAAACCAAAATGTGGTAGGTTATTTTCTTAAGGCACAGTTTATGTAGAAGAGAAGGCATATGGGAATGTTTGTGAAGGAATCTTGTGGGGACAGGGTGGGAGAGAGTACAATTAATACTGTGCTAAACTGTTGGGTATTTTTCCTTTTTAGCTTGCCAGTGCTTTGAAAACATTGTCGTTATTTGACGTCCAGATAGTCAATTACAAGTACAAGTAAGTGTACCTGCAAGGGTGGTGGTTTTATTGTGATGTAATCCTCATTGTAATTACTTGGAAGAAAGTCCATTTAAAATCACGGGGTTTCTAGAATAAGAAGAACACACCATCAAGTTGCAACTGGACCATGGCGATCCCTTCCATGGGGCATTCCATAAGATGCACAGAGTTGGTTTGCCATTAGCTTCCTCTGCATAGCAACCATGGACTTCCTTGGTGATCTCCCATCCAACACTAACCAAGGCCGATCCTGCTTAGCTCTTAAGCCCTGACAAGCTTGAATCAAACTGGATTAATTGAGTTGCTAGGGAATTAAAGGATCTCTCAATTGCCACTTAAAATACAAATTAAAAAAAAATGCTGTAACTGGTGTTAAAGGTAATTTATATATTTGACAATATTATAGTAATGCAAATTTCTAAAAGTGGGGAACAGACTTTGAGGTAACTCGCTGAGCTAGCTTTTGGTGGAAGGGTAGTCTAAAAATATGCTATATAAATGAATTCATCTAAATGAATACATTCATTTGCAAGTCAGCCCATTTAAGTTCTTTGGTGGAATTATATACTGTTCTAAGATACGTTTTTTACTTAATTGCATGCCTATTTTATTTTAGTTTGCTTCTTGTAATATTCCAGTAGTATAAATTATGTCTGCTGATCATTGTGGGGGCAAGGGAGGGGGAAAGAGAAAATAGCCACACATGTTGCAATATCTGTTCCTGTGTTTTTCCGAGGGAGCTGGAGTTTACAAAGCAGCTGAAAATTACACACAATTCTGATATATTCATTGGAATGCATGGAGCAGGACTTACTCATCTTCTCTTTCTGCCAGACTGGGCTGTCATCTTTGAACTGTAAGCCTCCCATTTAATCTTATGCTCTTTATTATGTACTCCCGCGGTGATGGATGGTCCCCTACCATTTCATACCACAAAAAGGGTCCTAGTTTGTTGAGCAACTGTAGGACAAACAGGGAGGTTTGGGTCTTCCTCTTGCCACAGAAGCTGTCAAACTTAAAATCAGCCAGAAGGACTCCCATTCTAGCTGTAACTGAAGACGTGAGCAGTGACTTCTGAAAGCTCATGCCCGGCCACAAATTTTGTTAGTCATTAAGGTGGTACTGGACTCTTGCTCCTAAATTAGTCATAAAACTGATTTTTTTTCCAAGACAGGAGTTGTTTCTATAGGAATTTGCTTTGTGTGTTTCTGTAGGGATATGGCTAGTACTGTGGCTACTTGGGGGTGGGGAGAGAAAAATGATTCAGAGGTGACTGCCTTTAGGACTGAAGAATGTCCAGCTCGCCACTCTGGCCTCTTCTATGGATTGTTTTAAATGCCAGTTGCCCACAATCAAGTAAAAAGAGGGGTCACAAGCTTTGCTTGAAGGGTTGTTAGCATGTAAGCTGCGTGCTCCCTAAAGATCCCTCAGACAGCGCTGGCTCTTTGGCTTGGAAGCGGAAATGAGCACCGCCCCCTAGAGTCGGATTCGACTAGCTTTCAAGCAGGGGGAACCTTGACTACACAGACAAGACACAGGTGGACATGAACAACAGAATGTTTCTTTAGCAGAAAATACATAATTTAGCAGAGTAAACATTTTGTGTGGATTGCTTCCCCCAATTAGAGTAACCACCTCCTAGCTGAGACTGAGTTAATGTGAATAAACTCTGAGGAAAGAGATTTGGTTCCCCTATCTCCAGCCAGTTTATTTCAGTTTACACTGGAATCTAATTCAAGGTTACTGTTTTTAACACAGAGAACTCCTGTCCATAGAATGTGTACATGTACATTAGAAATGTTGGGCTCTTAACGGGATGCTTGTTTCCACTAAAACAAGCTTGAGGTCCATGGGGTCGCGAAGAGTCGGACTCGACTGTGCGACTGAACCAAAAAAACCCCAAGTTTTTCTCCCTAATCTGTCCCTAAACCCTAACTAAAAGTCAAATAAAAACCTGGCTAAATTGATGTCCTTATTCAGAGCCATGGAATCCCCGGTTTGAGGGAGGAATTTTTTTCTACCCCCTTTTAAACTGAGGCTTGCTTTCCCCCCTCCCATTCATTGGAGTTCCATGGGCTTTGATTGGCTGACAGTCACTTGGAGTTGCATGAAGGCAGGACTTTGGGGGTGATTGCCACAGCTAGACTTGCCATTAAAATTAGGGATTCTCAAACATGCACTGGTTCAGCTCACATTCCATTTTGCTGAAAACAAGCAGGGAGCCATTTTTGAGCAAAGCTGCTCGGTAGCTGACTTTGAAGGTAGTGAGGTGAGGAGGTACAAATCTACTCGATACCAAAATACGCTGTTAGTCCTACTGTGTGAAACTTGTGTCCACCCTAACAAAATTTGATTTTCTGAATTCAACTTTTTTATCACTCGCTTACTCTCAAATAGCAAAAAACTGGGATGGGAAGCAGCAGTTTGCAGCTTTCTCTCTTTCGTATTGGATCGATTCACTTTTTCATATGCTAACCAATTTTATAGGCTAACCTGGTTACAAATGATGCATTTTTATATTAAAGCACTAAAATAAGTTTAGGTTTGATTTTTTAAAAGTAAATATTGCATATATTTCAATTTTCCTTTACCCCCATAAAACACGCTTCCCAACAGTTTCAAAATTCCCAGACATCTATGGTAACATTCTTTAATGTGGAAATATCCTTCCAGTGATGTAGCACTGGGCTTACCAAGGACGTCAGCAACCATGACATTCCCTGTGTGCTTCAGCAGTAGTTACAGCTATTGCATTTACATTGTTGATGTAGAATCTGAAAGCAGATGGAAATGGATCAGTTTCTTCTAACTACAGTTCAGAAGCCACAACTTAATCTCCTACCAGGCATGGTAAGAGAAAGAAGATGCTGATGGATCACTTTAAGTCTGTGGCAGCATTCCCAATGCAGACCATTGTACCTTGATATGGAGAACTCTGAAGCAAAATGAAGTAGAAAAGGCTTCATCCCACGCCTACCTCTCTAGCCATTTTCCCTCTACTGGAGAGGAAAGCCCCAGCCTATCAGGTCTCCATAGGATGGGATTCCAATCCGCCTTTCCTTCTAAAACATGGCAGGTCCTAGAAACAGGGCTTTGTCCTCTTCGAATGGCTTCCCATCCTATCCTGTTTGTGCACATCTCTAGGTACAACTGTGAAGATGAACACTGCTATTTAGATCTGGCAAGACTGAGAGGTGTCCATTACATGACCTGGCAAAGGAAGGACAAAGTATTCCCCCAAGATCAGGTAGAATGCATGGGTGTCAGGGGAAGAGGGATGGAAGTGTCTCCGGTTTTGTTTGTTTAATTGTTTAAAGATTTGTTTTACCCTTCTTGATTCGCGTTCATGAAATATGATACTGCTGCTTGAGCCCAAATTAAATTCTCTGCTCTGATTAAGGAGTCATTTTATATTAATAGCCAGAGGAGGAAGAGAAATGAAATTAATTGGCCATTCGTTCAAGCTGTCAATAGTATTGCTGTTAGGTGTTTTCTTAGTTGACACTGTTGCTTTAGGGCAGATCAATAAATCAGTGATTATGAATTAAAATAATTACTCAATTTGCAGCTTGTTTTCCGGCAGAAGGGCTGACTTTGTTTGCTTCCTTAACACCATTTTAACTCCCTTTTCTTCAGGGGCATCATCCAACACTTGGAAAACACCCGAAGTTTACAAATTACTCGTTTGACGTGGAAGAATTTGTCCGCTTGGTGCTTCTGGCGGCTGATCGTGTGTCACAACATTCCAAATGGCCGTTTAGGAGAAAACAACGTGATGAATTCTAGGTTATGCTACGGTGTGTTTTTTTTAACGCTAAAGTGTTAAATGTGTCACCTATTTTGATACACAGTCCTAAACAGCTAACTTTTTTTTTCCTGGAGGAAAAGGAATGGGAGTTGCATGTTGGAACCCTTCTCTCCCCCCCCCCCCAATTGTTGCTTTATTACTGTAATGTCTTCGCCCTTCCCAATATTACTTGAGAAGTTTGTGTTATGGAACACCTATTTATTTAGTACGACGAAAATTTGCACTGCTTTGTCCTCGGGTTGTCGTCACCTGCATTGCTAAAAAGAGTGACGGTTGCTTTAAAAGTATGTATGTGGGGAGGGTTAGAGATCAGCACACTCTGACTTGGTTAGCCCAGGCCAACCTGATCTTGTCAGATCTTGGAAGCTAAGGCCCTGGTCAGTATTTGGGTGGGAGACCACCAACCAATGTTCCCTCTAAGCTGAGTTAGTGTGAGCTAGCTCACAGGTTTTTAGTCTCCAGCTCATGGGTGTCTTAGCTCAGGAAGAATGGCCCCAGAGCAAACTAATTTATGCAGTAGCCAAATCGTTTGCTCACAACTTTAATGCCAGCAGCTCAAAAAGTAGAATTTTTGCTCACAAGACTCCACAGCTTAGAGGGAACATTGCCACCAACTAAATCCAGGGTTGCTACACAGGGGCAGGCAACAGCAAACCACCTGTCAACGTCTCTTCTCTTGAAAACCCCACAGGGCTGCCATAAGTCGGCTGTGACTTGATGGTGAGAAAAAGAGAGAGAGAGAGAGAGAGAGAGAGAGAGAGAGAGAGAGAGAGAGAGAGAGAGAGAAGCACCCTGGGACTTGCTGCTTCCTATGAAAGTATTACAGGAACTTTTCAGGCTTTGAAATGCTGCCACCCCCCTCTCTTTCTCCTGTTCTTGCAAGACACTCCTAGGACTAAATTAAGAGTGGGCAGGGTAAGAAAGCACAGCTAAAGTCCTGGAATTTCCAATAAAAAACAGAGGGTCAAAGAAACCAAGAGAATCTGACATAGGATTGCTACAGTTTTTTACAGTTTAATTTACTACTTCCTTTTTCTTTCATTGTCCACCCATTTCATATTGCGGTGGTCCAGTAGCAAATGTTGTTCACTTTAAATCAATAAATCCCACACTTAAGTACTGTTTGGCTTTGTATGATTGGAACACCTTGCTTTTTATGAAAGTGTCTTTCCATAACTATCGTGGGTTTAAAAACGAAAGTGGAAGAAAGTTTAAAGTAGGCTCAGCACCAATGTTTTATGGAAGTGTATTATTGTATGTGTAATACTTTTAAAAAACATCTCGTAGAACCTGGCCTTTGGATGCTAACAACCTTCAGCTTAAAGATTTTTAAAACGTCAACCTTACCTGAGTTTTTGGTTAATAAATAATACTTCAGATATAACAGGGCATGCAGGACAATCCCAAATGCATTGATTTGGAAGCAAGCCCCATTTCATTCGTTGATTCGGTTTCCAAGAGGATGTGCTTGGGATGGCTTCCTCAGGTGCTTCAGGGGTCTCCCTGGCCTCAACAATTAAGGCCCTTTGGGTGGGGCTGTGGCTCACTGGTGAGCCCTTACATGATTTGCATACAGTCAAAATTCAATCCCTTGCATCTCTAGCAAAATGATCTCAGATAGAACTGGCAGATCTGGAATATTGTTTGCCAGTAGATTTTGAAATGCTTCATTAAATGCTTATGTATGTCTTTTCTAAGTCTTCAGGATCAAGACATTGCATTTGCAGTTGTTCTTAAAATATCCTGTGTACTCAGCAACTTTAGCCTAAAATTTCCTAAGCCATGTTTAAAAACAGAGAGTGCCTGTGGAAAGGGTGCCTAGGCCAAAGATCAAGGATCCTCCTCCCCCTGGCCCTGAAACAGAGTGTCTTGTGTCATTCATACATGCTTTTAAACATCTCCGTGCCATCCGCCTCTTTCTTCACCCCTCTGCAACTGGTGTTGTGAGATCAGGCAAGTGACTCTGAAGAGAAGAGAAGGGTGGAGCCAATGAGCCTGGCAAAAGAGCAACCAAGATGTCAGCCAGATACCAAGCAAGAACTGGGCACACCCATATTTTGGAGGCTAAGGGGGAAGGACTAAAAAGGTGAAGAAAGAGCAGAGAAAGGCCAGCGACACCATGGCATCATGAGCCCTACAAAGGAGGAGGACAGAGACAGGCCAGGCATAGGATCTACTTTCCATCATCAGTTGAGCTCACCTGCTTGAGCACCCTGTGCACTTTCTGTCTTTGTTGGAGCTTTCTTGCTTGAACAGTCCACTTGTGCAACAACCAGGTGTGGCCAGCCTGTGTGAATGAGGCTAGCCTAGGATGCATAAGTAGTCTCAATAAAGCTTTATCTCATTTCAGAAGATCCTTGCCTGGAGCTCTCTGTCCATTCACTGCTGGATTCAAACCCACTGGCCGACAGCTCTGGTCTAGGGTCTGATCAACCCTGGACTAGATGGCAAAGGGCCACAGGTACCATTTTGCCTCCAACATTTGACGTTAGCATTGGGAGTCACAGGAGAACAGACAGGGACTTTCCTGATTTGAGGGGTGCGGTACTGCTACACCATTGTGGTTGGCCTGAGAGCAGGCCTGAAATAGGTAGTAGTGATTTTAAAGTAAGTAGCAATAGACTAGAGATCTGAATAAGTAGGGATTGATTAGAGATTTTTGAGTAAGTGAGGAGAGAAAAGAACTAAGATCTTTTCTGCATGGGACCTCAAAGGGCCTCCATCAGTCAGAGTAAACAACACTGAACTGAATAGACCTCCAGTCAGTCTCAGTACTAAGCAGCTAAATATGTTCATAAGTTCACGTGTACGTCTAGTGTCATACTTATGCCTTATCTGTAACATAAACTGTGATCAAGAAGATGTCCATCGCTCACGTGAACAAACTCAGTGCTTCCACACAACCCATAGCTGCACTGGGGACCTATTTATTTATTTATTTAGATTTGTATCCCGCCCTCCCGCATAGCGGGCTCAGGGCAGGTTCCATCAAATATAATATACAACAATTAAAAGCCATTAAAATATATCAGATAAAATACAGAAATAATTCTTATGTATCTATATATCTATTTCGAAAGAAGCTATCCTGCTCTTACATCAAGTTTTATCCTCCTCTTCCTCTAGGGAACTCAGAGCTGTGTACTTCATTATCAGTTCTTCATTTTATCCTCACAATAGCCCCCAAAGGTAGGTTAGGCTGAGAGAGAGTCTTGTTTTGGCCTCATTGTGTGGCTAGAATAGCTGAGTAAGAACACAGTGGAATGCTTGTGTTTGGACTAGTTGTTAGGTACAAAGGAAGCACTATGACAAACAACAAGTGTTTCTTGGTGGTGGCATTCAGGAACCTTAAAAATCTTACTACCAAGTATGAATTAGAATTACTCTGTAGTTGTTCAGAAGGAAATGATTCTTTCCCAGCAAGGAGACTTCTATTTTTTCCTCTTACCTGACAATCATAAACTCTCCCAGTTTTAGGTATGGCAAAGAGCTGGTAGACAGGACAATAACAGCTAGTTTACCAGTCCAGAATAAATGAAGGCATGGGAAACAGTTGTGCTAAATTAGGTTTTCATTGAACACAGCACAAGTTTTATGGATTTTCTAGGGGTAGGCGTGTTAAGCATGGCTGCCAAGTACATGTATGTTGTGGAGATCAAGCATGGTGTTGAGTCTTCTGAAACTACTTATGCCTTATGGCCCTATAGCTAGGATTATCTTGTGTCTTGTATCTAACATTGGGCGGGATAGCAAATATAGTAGAAGACAGAATCATGATACAGGAAGATCTTGACAGGTTGGAAAGCTGGGCTAAAACCAATAAAATGAATTTCAGTGGGGACAAATGTAAAGTTTTGCATTTAGGTAGAAAAAATCAAATGCATAATTATATGATGGGGGAGACTTGTCTTGGCAGTAGTATGTGCGAAAAGGACCTAGGGTCTTAGTAGACCATACACTGAACATGAGTCAGCACAGTGTGATGTGGTAGCTAAAAAGGCAAATGCGATTTTGGGCTGTATCAATAGACGTATAGCATCCAGATCACACAAAGGGATGGTATCGCTTTTCTCTGCTCTGGTTAGACCTCACCTAGAGTATTGTGTTCAGTTTTGGGCAGCACAATTTAAGAAGGATATAGACAAGGTAGAATGTGTCCAGAGGAGGGCAACGAAGATGGTGACTCTGGAAAACAAGTCCTATGAGGAAAGGTTGAAGGAGCTGGGTATGTTTAGCCTGGAGAGGAGACGACTGAAAGGTGATATGATAACCATCATCAAGTACTTCAAGGGCTGTCATACGGAGGATGGCACAGAGCTGTTTTCTGTTACCCCAGAAGGTCGGACCAGAATCAACGGGTTGAAATCAAAAGAGTTTTCGGCTAAACTTTAGGAAGAACTTCCTGACGGTTAGAGCAGTTCCTCAGTGGAACAGGCTTCCTCGGGAGGTGGTGGACTCTCCTTCTTTGGAGGTTTTTCAACAGAGGCTAGATGGCCATTTGACAGCAATGCTGATTTTGTGAATTTAGGCAGACCATGAGAGGGAGGGTAGGAAGGGCTGCATTTGTGCTTAGTTTTTGTAGCCCTTTCTTACACGCCCAGGGAAATGCTGATCGCCACTTTGGGGTCAGGAAGCAATTTTTCTCCAGGCCAGTTTGGATAGGGATAGGGATCCTGGAGGTGGGCTTTTTTGTTGTTGTTGCCATCTTCTGGGCATGGAACGGTGCGGGGAGGTATTTGTGAATTTCCTGCATTGTGCAGGGGGTTGGACTAGATGACCCTGGAGGTTCCTTCCAACTCTGTGAGTCTATGACACGCTGTACAGGAGGTTTTAACAGTTTGTAGCAGTGGTGATTTTTCAATGTGATATTGCTGCATTCCGTTCCTGTCCACACCATAGTCACTGTCCCACTGCCCTCCTGTTCTCCCATGGTGTGATATACAACTGGTTGTTGGGCAATAGCCTTGGGAAAGGGCAGGTTCTAAGATAAATGGTAGCATCATGTTGGAAAACCCACAAATTTCCTTAATGGGCCAGATGGGATATATTTAGTGGATTTTGGAAGCTCACAATGGGCGATGATAAAGACAGACATTCTTTTATTTCTTGTTCCCAGCTCCTGGTGATCCAAACTCTTCTGCATTTGAGATACATTTTTAGCCATCGTAGCTATTGAAAGAATAATTCCTCACGATCTTTCCCTATTCCTTTGTAAAAGCCACTGTGTGAGGGGCTGTCACTGTATCCTGTGGCACTAACTCCTATAAGCTGTCCTTGCATTTCATGAAGAAGCATTGTCTTCTGTGACTAGGTGAGAGCAGAACTGAATTTGGGATTCTAAATGCGAGTATGTCCCCAATCTATGTATTGATATTATGACGCTGG